ACTCTAATTCTGGTTTTTCATGAATTCATACATATTTTACAAATATACAGAGACATTCACAAATGTCTCCATCCCAAATTGTGACAGCAAGAATATTATGACAAAACATTTGACATTTTAAGGATGATAAAGAGGTTAAAATCTTATCTGTTATACTCTTGAGCACTGTCTATATGTACCAAACAAGTCTTACATTTTATTGTAATGAATCCAATTATCAAGATGTTCTTGGATCAAATCCAACTCACCATTCTCAGGAGCATTTATTCTGAATGAGCTATACACGTTTTCTTATGGGAAGCACTAGAATCCATGGGGAAAACACGAATGCGTTTTATTACAGGCACAATTTTATTTTCTCTTTTCATTATATTTCCCAAAAATATAACATCTGTTCAATTGAAACAATGTTTATTCCTGCAGTTACAACTACTAGGCTGTCTTGCCGGAGTGGAGATGGTACTTAAGGATGTTGGTTACCCCGTGAAGCTTGGTAGTGGCGTTGCAGCTGCTTCTGCCTACTTCTCCAATGCGACCCCCTTAATTCCTTCAAGGGTTTGATTCAAGAATTTAAACATGTAACTATTTCTCTTCTTCTCATATGGCTTTACAGTAAAAATTGCACAATCCCGTCTTTGGCACTTGAGGCCTTGAATTTCCATCAGTGTTATTCGTGGACCTTTTATATCTAATCTTTAAATACAGCCTCGGTTCTTCTTCTTCGTCTTGCTTGTATGCTCCTTTGATATTTAGAACTGACTAACAGGATAGACACTAACTTGTCAAATTTACATCTACTTATAGGGGTTGAGTTAACTTTTGCTACATATTTTGAAAGTAAATAGTACGATCTAGGTGAGTAAACTCTCCTCATCCCTTGGTACATTCTATCAAGTAGGATTGAATCCGATTTCTCTTGTTACTATCAAATCACTCCTTCAAGTTCGTGCCAAAGAAGCTGATTTTCAACCCCTTTAACAACTCTGGAGTATAGTTTATCGAAGTTTCTTTAACCAGAGTTAATACATTAATTTTATAATTTTAGCCAAACAGGCAATAAGTTGACAGAAAGTAATATAAGAGAAAATGGATTTATTATTATTATTATTTTTTTTGGGACATCTACAATGTAGAAACGTAGAAGGAAATAATTCCACCAAACTGTAACATAAACAGATTTAACGATAAAATATTATTTAAATTTTCAATCCAACTCAGAATTGTTGAGTCATCTTTACTTGATCCACGTGCTAGTTTGAAGTTGTTTTTGTCCAACCCCAATGAAATTGTGTCAACTAATAATTTGTCAAACTGCTTGGCAAAAACACCAGAACATGTAGCAAGATTCTTAATGGAGTTTTTTGTGGATAAGATTTTATGATTTAATAATAATTAGAGCTTCAAGACAAGATTTTCACGGTCTCTCACCACGAGAAAACGAGATATCCCGACAAAGGAAAAAACCTAAAGTACTGGGAATTTCTTATCGAATTCATGCACATGCTGAGGTGGCATAATCTGATTCGTCTATTTTTTTCCATCTTTCAATAATTATATGCCATTTATTACCTGTAAAAATTTTGTACTTTTATGATTGACAGACAAAAACACTTAAGTCCTTGTTTGAGTTACATTCTTGCAAAAATTCATTTTTTCAAAATTCATTTTGAATTACACATTTTTCAATAAAATAATATTACACGTAAACCAATAAAGGTCCGTTTGATTGCAAGAATGAAAAATAGGTGGAAAGAAAACGAATTCTAGAAAAAATAATTATCTAGAACTTGTTTTCTCGAGAATTGTCAATTAATTGTGTTTAATTGGTATAATTTTTCACCTGAAAAATGTTGAAATTTTGGATCTTTTGGTGTACGTTTGACTTTGTTTTCCATGAAAATTGTCCATTAAAGGGAATTTTTTTTT